AAAAAAAAAAGAAAGAAAACACAGAACTTCTCTATTATTACCCAAGTTTTCTGTATTTGGTAGCTACTAATAAGTACAAAGTATGTTCTGCCACTAGTTTGAGTCCACCTGGGAAGTATCTTAAAAATCAGGTCTAAGGGGCTGGAGATTTAGCTCAGCGGCAAAGCGCCTGCCTGGCAAGCGCAAGGTCGTGAGTTCGTTTCCCGGTACCAGAGAAAAAAACAAAAAAACAAAAAAAACAAAAAAAAAATCAGGTCTAAATCTTAAAGAAGATTATCAAATTTAAAAGAAAATCTCAATAATTTAAACAAATGCACAGTCCAAACAAAAGCAATAGCACAGAATTAATTATTAACAGCAGCCAAGCAGAAAACAGATTACAGTCTTAACAACTGGTTATAAAGCCCAAGCTGTACTTTTGCTTATCTACTCTGCTAAGTTATAGAACTTCATCACCCCAGCAAGGGACTCTTCCTGCTGATTCTTTGTTGAATGGCATAAACTTTAAATGTATCTGTATACTACAAATTATTTATGCCCTATTTCTTACTAGATTTAAAACTAGAATTACATTTTTCTTTAACTTGAAGGGTTCATTATAGTTTCACCCACAATGAGAAGTCAGGAGATTGCTGAATACATACAGGTGAACAGCAAATGTGAGAATTTATATATAACAGTGAAGGCTGCTTGAACAAGAATAACAATATTTTATTTATTTTATTTTTTTTGGTTTTTCTCCGGCACCGGGAACCGAACTCACGACCTTGCGCTTGCCAGGCAGGCGCTTTTGCCACTGAGCTAAATCCCCAGCCCCAAGAATAACAATATTTTAAATATTAGGGTCAACTATACCTTCCCTCTCTCTTACCCACCCTCCCGCGTTACTGAGAATCAAGCCTGGGGCCTTTGCATCCCCCAAGCCTTTTTAACATCTTCAGACAGGGCCTCACTAATTTGTCCAAATTGGGCTTGAACCTGTGATCCTCCTGCCTTAGCCCCAGAGTGCTGAGGTACTGGTGTGTACTACCTGGCCTCTTTACAACTTTATATTCAATTAACAGGCTACTAGTCTTCCTGCAGTCATCAAAAGTTAAAAAAAAAAAAAAATTACCCAAGAATTTTGCATTTCCAATTATATAAAAGTAGAAGCCCAACAATTCTGGAATCTATGTATACTCTACCTTGTTTGTTTGACAGAGTTACTGTCCTCACCACAGTCCGAACGTTTTCTTTTTCGGGACCTGGAATGGGCTGAGGTTGGAGTAGCAGACTGGAAACGCTTGAAGAACCTTCTGAACAAGACAAGTAAAAAACAATAATTTGTGAAAAATAAAGCTATCTCAAGGTAAGAAACTTTGATTCTATAACCAGTCAAGCCCAATACAGATTTTTTTTTAAAATTTATTTATTTATTTTTTATTTTAAAGATAAAAGGAGGGAAACATTAACAGACATACAACATTTTACAACATATCACAAGCACAATACAGACAATACAGAGTTACAAACAAAGTGGTAGGGAATTAACAATGGTGGTTGTATTACATATTGATATCTTCAAAGCGGCTTCTCATGAAAACAGATATAAACATGCAATACTGGTCAACCAAAGACTCATTGACAGTTTCTTTCAGCATAGAAATAGAAGACAGAAGAACAACCATGTTATCTATCCTGTATATACATACATACAAAATTTCTCCTTCGTTCCCTTCTCTTTTCCCACATCCCAGAAGCCCTTTACTCTTCAGTGGTTTCCTCATTTCACAGTGTCTATCATACCTCCGAGTTTAAATTAACTCTTTCAAGTTTTACACTAGTGACACAATGTGGTGCTTGCACATGTATGTTTGATTTATTTCACTTATGAGTATGGTTTCTAGTTTTGACCATTTAAATATAAAGGCCTCGAGTTTATCTTTCTTTACAGCTGAGTAATATTCCATTATATAAAAGTACCACAATTTTCTTATCCAGTCCTCGGTGGATGGACATTTGGGTTGCTTCCACATTTTAGCAATTACAAATTGTGCTGCTATGAACATAGGTGCACATATATCACTGTGATATGATGTTTTTAGATCTTCTGGGAAAATACCCAGCAGGGGGATAGCTGGGTTGAATGGGACCTCTAAACCTAGTTTTCGGAGGAATCTCCAAACTGATTTCCACAGTGGTTTCACCAGTCTGCATTCCCACCAGCAGTGGAGAAGGGTTCCTATTTCTCCACAGCCTCGCCAGCATTTGTTATTGGTTGATTTCTTAATGCTAGCCATTCTTACTGGGGTGAGGTGGAATCTCAGTGTTGTTTTAATTTGCATTTCTCGAATGACTAATGATGTTGAACATGTTCTCATATATTTATTTGCCGTTTGTATTTCTTTGTCTGAGAAATGTGTGTTCATCTCTGCTGCCCATTTTTGGATTGAAGCCCAATACAGATTGCTCTGTCACTACGAGCCAATCAACCTTTCCGTACATATCTGCCTACAACAAAATGGTGCAATGGCTGGAGGACCCTTGGGCACAATACGAAAACAAAACATAAAACTCAGCCAGGCGGTGATGCACACTGTAATTCCAGCCCCAAGACTCTGGAAGGCTGAGAGAGGAGGATCGTAAGTTTGAGCCCTGCCTGGGCAATTTAGTGAGACTTTGCCTCAAAAATCAGGTGTTAGGAATGTACCTCAGTGCAAAGGCCTGAGGTTCAATTTCCAATACTGGAAAAAGAAAAAGACTAATGTTATTCTAGACTTAATCTCAGAAGTGTACTGGCTATCAGGTATGCCAATCCGAAGTTTTCTGTCTAAATTTAATCATGTACAAAATCTTAACTCCAAGGTTTCAACATAGCAAGCTTTAAGAAGTTCTTAGAATCAACTATTTGTTTCTGTCCATATAGGTTTCACACCTTATAATTTTTAGAGTGGAAATATATGCCAGCCAGAGGTTGAGGCAAGCTCCAGAAGAAAATCCTAGGAACTTCTGTTTTTTCAGACAGGGTCTCACTACGTAGTTCAGGCTGGTCTTGAGTTCACTCTGCAGCCCTGGTTGTCCTTCAACTTATGGATCACCCTGCCTTGGCCTCTTCCTTGTGCTGGGATTACAGGCATGTGCCACCACGCCAGGCTAATCCTAGCAACTTTTGAGAACCATTCATCTACCACAAAATGAAGTTTTTGCTCTCCTAATGTCATTTTTAATGGTATTTTTCCAATTTCCCAAGACATAGTTCCTTTTAGGTCATTATAAGTGCATAGTTATGAATAGCTAAGGACTGAACCATAGTCACAATTAAGTCTGTTTTACTTCAACTAAGAGAAATCAAAATCTATTTGCTCATCTTGGCTGTTGCTTCCACAAGTGTCCTTATTCTCTTGTAACATACAACCACCCCTGCCAAAACCTGCGACAACTTACCACCTTGCTTCTTGGATTTTTCCTTCATTTTCTTTGATTTAATTTCCTCAAGAGTTTTTATTCCAAAATTTAAACTTTCACCTGAGAAACCCAAATAGAAATCACGTGAGAAACCAGACTCTTTCATCTTTGCTCTTTATCTTTTCATAGCAAGCATTCAAGTATTTTTTGAATGAATGATTAAGAAAATGTACATGTAAGTATATGTGTGTAGCAGGGACATGGAAGAGGGACAATGACTCTGAACTAAACTTCAAAGGTAAACAGTGTGGACATATTTCATGGTGTTTTAAGATTTAACAATAATACAACCTCTTCTTACCTTGCTTTAAACTGACTCCGGGTTTCCGCGCAGGAGCCACTCGTAATGCATTATGGACCTCAGGAGTTGGTTGTAGAGCAGGTGTTTTGGTTTCATCACCCTCCTCAGAAAACTGGTCTGTGTATCAACATTTAAGACACACTTATAATTAAAAACTGGCTTACAGCTTTAATACTGATTCTGTTCAACTTACTACTGACCCTAGTTACTTGCATTAAAGAAAAAGCTAGCTAGATATGGAGGCACACACCTGCAGCCTCAGCTATTTGGGAGGCTAAGGCAGGAGGACCACAAGTTTGAGGGTAGTCTGGGCATTTTAGCAAGATTCCACCTCAAAAAGACCTGGGAATATACCAAGATCCCGTTTCAAAACAGGAAGAGCTGGGGGTAGACAACCTGATTAGCATGCAAGAGGCCCTAGATTCCATCCTCAGTACAGCAAAACGAACAAAAAAAAGAAGAGAGCTAAAACTTACCATCATCATCTTCATCATCATCTGCAGCATTGATTACAACTGGTGGATGTGTGGGACTAGGAACATTTTCAGAACTTTCTACTTTCATAACACTCCGCAGCTGAGGGGAGGGGTTCGACTGCACAGACAGCTTGTTCTGTTGAGCCGTGAGCTGGCCAGCCTTTACTTCTTCTTCTTGTGACTCAAGCACAGTGGGCAATACAGCTAAACATACAAAACCAGTCACAAATTAACGAAGGACATACAATCCCAATTCAACACAAATCACTAGCTCTTTATAGTTAAGTTTGGTACATTTTCCCTGTAAGCATTTATATCTTTTTACCTAAATTTTAGTTTCTAAACTCCCAGGGAATTAAAAATGTGCTTTTAACTAGTAACTCTTCACTGTATGGAAACACAGTGTCACTCAAAACAGAATAAACAAAAGGCTAGATGCATACTAGTTGTTTCCAAGTTGTACACATTTAATTTTAAAATTGAGATTCTAGGGTTTTTTTTGATCAGCAAAGAAATGGCTTTTACGGGACAGAAGGAAAGTCAGATGTGGTGGTGTACACCTATAATCTCAGCTTCTTGGGAGGCTAAGCAAGGGATCACAAGTTTGAAGCCAGTCAGAGCAACTCAGTCAGACCTTGTTTCAAAATTAAATTAAAAAACAAAACAAAACAGTGGAGTAGGCTAGGTGTGGTGGCATATAGCTGTAATCGCAACCCTTTAGAGGCTGAGGCAGGAAGATTGCTGTGGGTTTGAGGCCAGTCTGGGCTACACAGTGGGTTCAAGACCAGCCTAACCTACATAGTAAGGCCTTGTCTCAAAAAGCCAAAACAAAGCACTGGTGAGGCTGAAGCAGGAGGACTGCTGCAAGTTGGAGGTCAACCTGAACTGCACAGTGGGTTCAAGACCAGCCTAACCTACGTAGTAAGGCCTTGTCTCAAAAAGCCAAAACAAAGCACTGGCGAGGCTGAAGCAGGAGGATTGCTGCAAGTTGGAGACCAACCTGAACTGCATAGTGAAACTGTCTCAAAGACGCCCCCGCAAAAAGACAAAAATAAAGAGAGATAAACAGACAGACAGAAGAGCTGGGTAATCATCTCCTTTATCTAATCATCAATGGGTGTAGCTCAGTGGTACAGCACTGGCCTAGCACACATATGGAGTCCAATTCCTAGTAAGGGTGGGGTGGGGGTAGAAGAAAAGATAATACTTATTTGAACAAGCCAGAAAGAGCAAACCTACTTTCTGCCCTTAAATAAGGTGAAAAGATGTCACCGTCACATTTTAATCACATAGCAGGATAGCTTTGCATTTATCTTTGTAATGCTGAGGACTGAACCCAAGGTCTCATACATGGCAAGCAAATACTATAGCCCCAGCCTCAGATATGGCTTTTTTTTCAGGCTAGCTTTGAACTTACTTTGTAGCCCAGGCTGGCCCTGAACTCCCAACAATCCTGTCTCAGCCTCCCCAAGGCTAGGATTATAGGTGTGTGCACCCATGCCCGGCCCAGATACAGCTTTTCAATGGCCAATAATACCACTAAGAAAATTACATTAAAGCAAAGTTTAGAAATAAATACCAGCTTTCTATTGGGCATGTTATCTTAGATTACAGATGAGCAGTTAGTATGTTAGGCCTTGTGTGCCATGTGGTCTCCATCTCAACTATACATTCTTTAGTAGTAGCAGGAAACTATACATAAAAAATATGTAAATGAATAGACAAGGCTGCATTCCAGTAAATCTTCATTTTACAGACTAGGCAGAGGACTAGAGGACCAAACCATTGCTGTCTAAAGCAGCAATGGTAAACCTTTTAAAGCTTTCAATGACACAAACAGCCTGCTGCAGCACACATGCCATAGATTTGCCCACTGGCCTAGAGAATCAAATTTCATTTGGAAACCTTATTGGTCTGGTAAGAAAATGGGAAATGAAACAAGCTATTGCGGTCTAATCTGGCATACCAAGAAAAATTTGGTTCTATAGTGGGCAGAAATCATTTAACCTTAATAAGGCTCAGCTTACCCATCTGCAAAAAGGAAGTAATACTGCTCAGTCAGTGGACTGAAAGAAGGCAATGTATATGAAATACTTTGTACAGTGCGCATGATAGGACTCTACTTAACAGTAACTATTAACAATAACTTAACAGTAACTCTTGCAAAATTAAGAGGATCTCACTTTTACTTGGAGGTAGAAACAGCCCATCAACATAGCGTCCTCTGTTGTGATGGAAAGCACAATTTAGTTTTTGACATCCCATTGGCTGATTTTCCCAATAACATGGAATTTCACTGCGTTTTTTCTGTAAAAGAAAAAAACATTGTTTTCAAAAAAATATGAAATGAGACTTGTACTTATTCAGTAATTGTTTTTCCAAACAAAGCTAATGAAGAGTCCAAAATCTGAGGCATGTGACGTGATTTTTAACAGTAAGAAGAGGGGCTACTGAAAGTGACAACAGTTTAGGCACGGAGGAGAGGTGAAAGGAGCACAGGGTAGTTTATCTGCTATTCGTTTCTCTTGGCCTCATCCTAAAACACTATCTCCATTGAATTTAAAGAAGCAGGATATAGATTATAAAATCATTAGCCAGGTGTGAGGATCGTTGTGAGTTCAAGGCCAGCCTAGACTACTCCACGAGTTCAAGGCCAGCCTGCACTACATAGTGAAACCCTGTTTCAAAAAAAAAAAGATTTTGGAATCAAGATAACAGGGTTTCCATCTCCACTATTCTACTTATTAGCTATGTGACCTGGACAATTTAATGCCTTCAGGCTTACCTTCCTTAGCAATACCTGTGAAATCCCAGCTACTCGGTAGGCCAAGGCATGAGGACTGCAAGTTTGACACCAGCCTGGGAAACATTCTTAATGAGACCCTGTCTCAAAATAAAACTTCAAAAAAAAGGGGAGGACTAGAGATGTAGCTGAGTGGTAGAGCCCGTGTTTAGCATGTATGAGTTCCCAAAAATTCCCAGTATGGGCTATCTAATTTGTTTCTTATAAAGATTAAAAGAATATATATGAAGAATGTAGTGCACGGAATAGACTCAGTGAACTATAGTTATTTTTTGAAACTATGAGTTCAAGGTTGTCAGAAAACTTTTCCCACTCTTAAATTTTTTTTTTTTTTTTGGGAGGGGGACAGGGTTTCAATATGTAATTCAGGCTGGCCCCAAACTCAGAGCAATCCTCCTGCTGCAGCCTCTGGGAGTGCTAGAATTACAGGCATGAATCATTACATCCAGCTGCCTGGAAGCAATATTCAGATATCAAGTGTTTTCTGTAACAGTATCTTCTGTCTACAAGCCATATGATATTTATTTGGTCTATTTAATACATTTGTTAGATTTTATGGATTTATCCCCTTCTCCCTTTTTTGAGACATGGTCTCTTATGCAGATCTGTCTGGCCTTGAATTCTCAATCCTCCTGCTTCAGACTCCAGGAGTGCTGTGATAACAAATATATACCAAGCTGGGCATGATGGCGCATGCCTACAATCCTAGTAGTGGAGCCACGAGGATCACCAGGAGTTGGAGGCTAGCCTGGGCTACCTAGTGAGTTCAAGCCCAGTCTGAACTACATAATGAGACCCTGTCTCAAAAAACAAAACAACAACAAAAATATATGCCACCATGTCACTCTGCCTGGTGTGATATTTCCAATTAAAAAAATAATTTACGAACAATGAAGATGATTTTGAAAATATAAATAACTATTATGGCATTATCGCTAAAGAATTATTTATTTTGGCATAGAACTTCCCCCGCCCCCGACACACACACACACGTTTTTTGGCAGTAATAGGGATTGAACACGGGGCCTTCACACCAACTATATCCCTAGCCCCTTTTCCACTTTAAAATAGGCTCTTGCTAAGTCATTAGGTTGCCTAGGCTGGGCTCAAACTTACAGTCCTCTTGCCTCAGCCTCCCAGAATGCTGGGAGTACAGGTGTGTACCACCATGCCCAAAACCTTTTTGGTTTTTAAAATCATAAATGCATGGGGCTGGGGACTTAGCTCAGTGGCACAGCACCTGCCTGGCAAGCACAAGGTCGTGAGTTCAATTCCCAGTACCAGAAAACAAACAAACAAACAAAAAATCATAAATGCATACACATACTTAAAAGTATTCCATATAATTCTCTACATTTTTTATTTAGAACATATCCTCTATAGTAACATTTCTCTTACATGATTATTTATTTAGATTGTTACAGTGATGCAGTATACTATTCAAAGATATCCAATTGATCCTCATTGATTATTCACAGTAGCTATGTGCTCTAAAGTTACTGGGAACACTACATTAGTGAATACTGAACCACTGTTCCTAGGAGAAAAACAAGGCTGAACTTCTGTGACCCTCTGGTCACCTCTGCATTGACTAATCAATACTTGTTTGAAGTGTTTGCTTAAAATCACCTTATTTTATACTGATTTGTTAACATGAAATTTCATGACCAACAGCATTTAACTCATGCCTGAACAAGCCTACCTAACATTCATATTTTCTCTGTAGAGTACAGAACAGACTTCTTTTATTTACAAACAATATACTGCACTTCAGTGTATGTTTTGGGACCATTTTAAACAGCAGAATGACCAACAAAAAACACAAAACCAGAAAAAATCATGGCACCTATGAAAAGAACCCTTAATTATAGTATGAGAGCTGAAACACGAAGGCAGCACTGTTATCACCTCTACTTGAAATATGCATATCTAGTGACTCTTTTGTGCTCTGACCATGTCCTACAAATAACAAAGTACTCAAGTTATGATTTGGGAGTTACAAATCAAGTACTGTATTAGTAGGCAAAATGGCAAATATGGAACCTATACCATAATGGAAATAAACTGCAGAAAAGGTAGAGGTCCTTTTCACCCCTTTCCTACCCACAGTCACAAGGTTCTCCTTTATACTTCCAGATTTAAAGAATACACATGCAAACAAAAAAGAAATGTCAAGTTTTCTCTCCCAGTTTACATACTTTGTTGCACACCTATGTTTTTTACTTGACACTATATCCTGATCTTCCTATAGCAATAAATTAGTTTCCCCTTTGAAAGCTTTGTTGTTGTTGTTAGATAGGCCCGATGGTGCACACCTGAAATCTCAGCCCCTCAGGAGCCTGAGGAAGGATGATCATAAGTTCCAGGCCAGCCTGGGTAACTCAGCAAGACCCAAAATGGCTGGGAGTGGGGTATCTCAGTGGTACAGCACTTTATTAGTGTGCTATAGGGCCTAAGTTCAATCTCCTGTAATAAAAAATGAAATAAAGGGGCTGGGGATTTAGCTCAGCGGCAAAAGCGCCTGCCTGGCAAGCGCAAGGTCGGGAGTTCGGTTCCTGGTACCGGAGAAAAAACAAACAAAAAAAAAAGAAATAAAAAGTGTGTTTTTTTCTGCCCAGCAACAGATATTTATGGGTGGTACTGAAAACTTACATCAATCTCCATGTGCCGAAACCTGCACACCTGTCGAAAACAGCGTCCTTCTTGCCATAATGTGCAAACAGTTTCATTTCCTAGTGCAGCTTCACAGTGACGGAATGGGCAGCTGTCACCCTATTAGAAAAGAGAACACAGAAAAGAAATGTAGCACTGAAATACAGCCTATGGAAATTGTCCATAAGGAATCTAAACAAACACAAATTAGTAACAGATAAGAGATGGGATAACAAGAATAATCTGAGCAAAATAAATTTATAATTTCCTATAACCTGTTTCTTGATAGATCTTTATCTGATGTCAATATGAATGACCCATGCTGAGAGAAGGGGTTGAAAAGAAAAGTGGTAATGTTAGATACTCCCTAAAAAAATACATCAAAACTGTTCCACATATTTTGCCCTGTATAACTCTAGGCTTTGGACAGAAATTCAGAAAAAAGGTAATAGATAGGAATTTAAGTATAATTAATATATAATTGTTTTTTTTGTGTATTTTATCTGAAAACACTTTGTGAAAACTGCTATATGTAAGACAGATAAAATTATCAGAGAGCTGCTCAAAACTTAGGTAAGTAGCTAGGTGTGGTGGTGCACACCTGTAATCCCAGGACTTGGGAGACTGAGGCAGGAGGATCTTTGCAAGTTTGAGACCAGCCTGGGCTACAAAGTGAGCTCAAGGCCAGCCTGAGCTGCATAGCAAGACCCTGTCTCAAAAAGACCAAAAAAAAAAACAAACAAAAAACAAAACAAACAAAAAAACCACCTTAGGTAAGTACTCTACTGTTGAGTACTTACCCTCCAACCCCCAAACACAATTTTTTTGGTTTTTTTTTGAGACAGGGTCTTGCTTTGTAGTGCCAGCTGGTCTCAAACTCACTAGGTAGCCAAGGCTGGCCTTGAACTCACAGCAATCCTTCCTGCCTCAACCTCCTGAGTGCTGGAATTCCAAGCATGCACCACCATGCCCAAGTAAAACTTACAATTTTAAACATAGCATTAATATGATAAAGTCACTGTAACATACAAATTTGCAGTCATAACAACAGAAAATAGCAAATATACCTAAATTGAGCTGCAGAGACTCAGGCAGAAAAATAGGGAATGTTGACAAAGACAAAGCAAAAAAGTTAAAAAAGAGCTTTCTATTCTTAGCAGCAGAAAATCTGGGAAAAGAAGTCAGACTTAACCAATACAGTTTTGAAAAGTATAATATAATCCAGGCACTCAATAAAAAGTCTATAAAATCACAGTCAGTAAGCTGTAAGTTGAAGTACTCCCAATTTTTTTTTTTTTTTTGGCACTGGGAATCGAACTCAAGACCTGTGCTTGCCAGGCAGGCACTGTGCCGCTGAGCTCTATCGCCAGCTGAAGTACTTCCAACTGCAAATCAGTCTGAGTGGATTAACCACAGGTGAGAGAACATTAAATGATGACTATGCGCCATGGCCTTTTCTTTTGCTGTTACTAGGACTTGAACCCAGGGTCTCTGCACTGCACAACAGCCCCAGCCATTTTTTTTTTTTTTAATCTTTTTTGGTTTTTCTCCGGTACTGGTAACCGAACTCATGACCTTGCGCTTGCCAGGCAGGCGCTTTGCCGCTGAGCTAAATCCCCAGCCCCAGCCCTAGCCATTTTAAATTCTGAGTTTGAGACAAGAACTTCCTGAGTTGCCAAGTTGTACAGGCTGTGCTCAAGCTTGCAAACTTGTGGTAGGTGCACCGCCACATCTAGCTTTTCACTTTTGATAGAACATGGGAGAATTACAGTTACATATACAATAAAGAGAGGCCAGGCATGGTGGCACACACCTGTAATCCCAGCACTTGGGAGGCTGGGCAGGAGGACTGGTTTGAGGCTGGTTTTTTTTTTCCCCTGTCTTTTTGAAATAGGGTTTTGCTTTGCAGTTCAGGTGTTGTGATTCTCCTGGCTCAGCTTCCCAAATGCTGGGATTACAGGTGTATGCCACCACACCCAGCACTAGTGCAAATTCAAGGCCAGCCTGGGCTACATAGTTCAAGACAAGCTTGAACTACACAGCAAGACCTTATCTCAAAAAAAAACCAAAAGAAAAAAATGAACAATAAAGTCTAAATACATTATTCTTTACAAAAAAACCTGACAGCAGATAATAAACAGTTAACCAAAACATAAAAACAACTACAAACATAAAGAAAACCGCACCAGTTTTATTAAAAAAAAACTACAGAAAGACCTGATTTGTTTTTTTTTTTTCTTTTTTTTGAGACAGGGTCTCACTATGCAGTTCATGCTGGCCTTATGTTCACTTATGTAGCCCAGGCTGGTCTCAAACTCTCAAGGATCCTCCTGCCTCAGCCTCCCGAATGCTGGGATTATAGGCCTGCTTCACCATGCCCAGCCTAGAAAGACCTGATGTGGAGCTGTAGAGTCTTACTTTGGTACATGTAGAATAGAAAAAAAAATAGCAATCTTCTCCTTGATTAGACATGCTGAGTGAATTCGAGGATCAGAGGTGGCTTTCTGAAATAAGCCACTGCTTTCGAGGGGAGGACCAGTTCCAAGTCCTCTTAAAATGGGCTTAATCTTCCAGTCTTCCAAATGACAACTCAAGCACAGAAATCGTCTTTAATATGTAATCCTAAAATGAGGAGATAATATATTACAGTATTTCAGGTAAATTCTTCCAATTTCCAGTAACGCTAGTAAGATCACAGTGTCAAAACACATTTTAATCACCTTAACATACACTTGCCATACCTACCATCATAAACATCATAAACACGTTGATTGTACACTCCCATCTACAATGTAATTTTTTGTGAAGGACAATCATGGCCTGTTTTATTTTATTTATTTTTTGCATTCTCTCTGGTGTTTGATAAATGTTTTAGCATAAAATTTAAATAAACACCGCTAAATAAACACATGATCATGATTTCAGATTAATGGAACCTGGATATTTTACACAAAATACTTGCTAAATCAGCATTTCTGACAAATCAGGTCTTTTCACCTGAATGAAAAAGGTCAAATATCTCCATAAACATTTGTGTTGTTTCTCCTAGTATGTAATTATAACTAGGCAGTAAAATGTTATTTGGCTAGAATAACTTGCAAGACTATCTTTGAAAACATCTGTAGAGCTACCTTATATACTGAAGGTGGCTAAAAAACTGCACAATTATAAACAAGGAACAAAAGAAAGCTTCAGGGAAATTCCCATAAAACAGTAATTGAACAACAGTATATCTCCTAGCTCCTGCCATACCCAGGTCCCTATACTAAAGTATCCAAAAAAGCTGTACAAAAGCAAAGCACATAGTAAGAGCATATAAGAGAGCATGGAAGTGTTTCTACAAGCTCATGTATCACTTCTCGGCCTTTTGGTTAAGATCGAGTGTACAAGCTCATATACCAGTAGCCAGGTTTCATAAACATGGACCTACTACTTGCCATCAAACTAAATTCAAGCATATCTATCTCCCACTGGTAAGTCGTAATCAAGAATACTATGCATGAGCCAGGTGTGGTGGCGCATGCCTGTAATCCCAGCACTCTGGAGGCTGAGGCAGGAGGATCCGTGCAAGTTCAAGGCCAACCTGGGCTACAAAGTGAGCTCAAGGCTAGCCTGAACTGCACAGCAAGACCTTGTCTCAAAAAGACCAAAAAAAAAAAAAAAAAGAATAGTATGCTATGAAGAAAACATGCCCTCTAGGTTAGAATAGCCTGCAACTAACCAAGTACTAAAATCTTGAAATTTATAAACCCTCTGATCCAATGAGTCCAGTTTCTACAATGTCCTAAAGAAAAAATATTCAACTAATACACAAGGTAATAATGCACAAGAATGTGCATCACTATCTTACTTCTAATAAGGAAGTAACAACTAGAAACTTAAATGCCCCAAAATTGGAAACATTTTTAAAAAGCTGTGATACATCTATATAGCATGACAATACTATGCTGTATAAAGTTTGGTGCCCAAAAGTGAATGAATGCTGCTTTAAAAACCCAAAATTAAAATAAAAAAAACTAAAAGTATAGACATAGTTTTAGAATAAGGTCATGAAGGGAGGCTGGAAGAATTCGAAGTGCTTGACAGAAAAATCCTTCAAGATATTGCTGCTAGACATACTATCTTGTTTAAGTGTTTAGATGCTTCTGGTGAAATCTGTCAAAAATGTTACTGGAATATTGAGAAAAGATGATTCCGGTTATGAAGTCATAGGGAACTTAATCATGCTTTGTCCTGTTGGGTAAGAGAGACCTGTAGGGGACGATGACTCTTAGCATATCATTTTAAGATAGAATAATTCTAGTCTTAATGCAAGCCTCAAAATGTGTCTTGAGAAACATCCTGGAGGGCTGTAAAGAGTTAACTTTGCAGTCCTGACTTAGCCCTGGAATGCTTCTCCAAAGACAAAGAACACCAGGACCCAGATAACCACATATGACCCTGCCTGGGTTGTTTCATCCCTTCCCTGGCCCTAGATAAACACTGTAACCATAAAGGAAATGTATGGTTATCTAAAGGGGGACATACAGAACAGAGTACAGAAAGTATGTATCATTCTGGTTGGGCTCATGATCGGAGCCTGACCCGGTTAGATGGCACAAGGAAAACAACATGTGGCCAGGGCTACAACATTCCAATCTGTTACCATGGAAACCAAAAATGTATATAAGCTGGGAACAAAGGCAGATCCACGCCCACTTCCCTGACTTGCAAGTTGGGATGAGAGGTGACCAGTCTAAATTAAAACTCTGTCTGTTCTCTTTCGTCTCTTGCGGAATACAGCCTGAATTTTTGCCGTAACATTACTACTAGTTTTAGGAAAACAGTAAAATGAGAGCTATGATATGGCAACAAAATAGTATAAAGTAAAAAGGACAAGATGTATATGTACCAATTCCCTATGATAAATGTATTAAGTATAGCAAACAAATTAATAAATTTTTTTTAAAAGCATGAATTAGAATTTGGGGGCAACTATGTGCAAATTACCTCTGCAAAGCTCCCTCAAAGTTTGGCAGGGTGAGGGGAGACTGAATCCTGAATAGACAGGCATCTTTTTAGAATGGTTTAGCAGAAAAAGATCTTCGTAGATCTGTTTTACACTATGGGCTTCCATAATTTTTACTAGAAAACAAAAATAGAAAATGGCTTCTAGGTGCAGGGGTGCATGCCTGTAATCTCAGCTACTTAGGAAATTGAGGCAGAAGAATCCCAGGTTCAAGGCCAACCTGGCAACCAATCAAGACTGTCTCAAAATCAAAGAAAAATGGCTGGGGATGTAGCTCAGTGGGAGATCACTTGCCTAGCATCACAAAACCCTGACTCCAATCCTTAATATCATCAAAACAAAGGAACAACCTAAAAATTAAATGTGATAGAAAATAATATTGTGAGCAAACACCCAAGATCAAAATGCATACTGATACATTTCTTAAGTTTTCAAAGGAAAAAACAAAAAGCACTTAGGTTGCCAAGAAAAACCTGGTTATCTTTCAAAAGCTGATAGCTGTTTCAAAGTAGGTAATCAAACTGAACAGCCCCCTCTTAAGCTACACAAGTTAATACAGAAAATACGGAGAAACCTTTTAACATTTTACGCTCTCAACAAATATTCAAGGACACAGCAATGTACAAATGAATACATTACTATGAATAAAAAATTTCTAGCCTCTTCCCTTAATAAAGGATTTAATAAAGGGAAGAAATAACAATAAAATTGATGAAGAACACGCCGGATTATAAGAGACCATTGGGAAGAAACTTCCAGTACACAAACCAAAACAATACAAAAAGATGTCAAAATGGCAGAAAATGCATACGACATGGAAATAATCAGAAATAAAATTTCTAGTCCACAGAAATTCTGAAAAGGGATGGAATTAATAAACATAATAAGAAAAACAATACCAAAAAATTGTCTCTATATTAAATGGACTTGAGCCTTTAAAAAGGCTCATCAAATGCCACAGAACTTTATTTTAAAGACAACCCTAGTACACACAGATATGGTAAAATTTCTGAATTCCAATGTAAAGACAGAATCATATGCACTTACAGGAAAAATCAGACTGATAAGGGAAAGACTTGACATCATTATACTTCTCATCTGAAACTTTAAATACCAAAAGACAAAATTTAAAGGAAATTATGACCTTAGATTCAGCCTTTCAAGCTATATTTCACAGACAGCTCAAAACTTGGAAGATTTTAGACTTGAAATCCCAAACAAGGCATTAGCTAATTAAACAAGATGTATACTAAAAGTAGTATTACATGATCAAAAATGTTTATTTCAGGAATAAAAAGTTTTAATGTTAGAAATTTATTACATTAATAAAAAAGGGGTTAAAATAGTATTTTTTAAAAGTATAATGCCCAAGAATAAAAAAGCAAGTTCAAACGCAACATCCACTCTTGCTTTTTAAAAAAGGGCCAGGAGTAGTGTTGTACACCTATTAATCCCAGTTACTCAAAAGGACTCTCAGTTCAGAAGAAGCATAAGTTTCAAGGTGGGCCTGGATACCTTACCAAGACACACCCTCCCCAAAAAGGATGAAAGGAGTGTGTGAGGTAGGGATGTAGCTCAGTGTTAGAATGGCTGCCCAGCATACAAGGCCCAGGGTTCAATCTTCTATGATAGCAAAGTTAAAAACCATAAAAGTACCACAAAAAGTAAAGAAGAAAAACTCAGTAAGTCATAAGGAACTTCCTAAGCATCAGAAACCTTTGTACTGAAGCACGGTACAACACTACAGGTCACCTCACTTAGAACAAATGAAAAGACTCTCTCAGTTTGTACTATCCTCCAAAGTGTCCCAGACTGGTCTAGTATATACAGTAACAAAAAAAAAAAAGCATTAATAAAAGATGAGACAAAAAAATCTACCTGAAAATTATGTATTGGCAAACTAGCAAATCTAACAGGCAAAAAAAGAAAACAACAAAAAAAGAACTGAATAAAAATATAAGATACACAAAGACAATAAAATTTTGCTCTATGCCAGAAATAATTCAGGTAAGAGTCTCACGATATAAGAAGAAAACAAAGCATGCAAGAGCCATATTACATTAAAAAGAAAACAAAAAACTAAGGCACGGTCGACCTGGATAATGGATAAATGGAGTAGGGGATAAACAAGTTACTTCTCCCAGGAATAATCCATACATTTAATGCAATCAAGTCAAAATCCCAGCAAGAGTGTTTTTACTGGAACTTGACAGACTGTAAAATGAAAAATAAGTTTGAAAAAAAAAAAGATACTCAAAGAGTGGAAAAGCCTTGCTCTACCTGATTATTACTTACAACAATGTTTAAAAGTAATACAAATGAATAAATATGTGGGTCAAGAGAACTCACAAGTAAATGTGATTTATGAAAAAAAAAGTAGCATTTGAAATTAACAAAAATGGTCAGCTATTTAAAAAAAATTCTACTTTATATGCAAAAGTTCCAAGACAACAAAAGCAGATTGCAAAGCAGCACTAGCTCACTAATTACATCACTAAACTAAGATTCTGAACTCACTAATTGTGCTATGTAAAAAGGCACACCATATAATAAAAATGGTATATCTATAAATTCTGAATGAAAAAATTTTCTGATAGCAAAGTTAAAAATCATAACAATAAAACTGATAAAAATGAAAAAGATCCATTAGTATATGGCCAGAGATTAGTATCTTTACTAAACAGGACACGTTGAGAGCTTTTTCAAATCAAAGACACCATTAGTTAGTTGTTCAATAAACTGTTATGACCTTTTTTAGAGAGCAGTATTAAAAAATCTACAAATTTGCATCCAAAAACTGGAAACAGTTTACACAGATGTGTGCATAAGACTGTTACTACATTGGGGCTAGTTTTGTTCAAATGACAAGCACTCAAAATGTCTATCAGTGAGTGATTCATTAACTCCTGGCATACCCATACAATGAAACACTACACAGTCATTAAAAAGATTAGGAAAAGAGGTGTACTGATAAAGAACTATGTTGTGATAAAATACAAACAGCACTATTCTCCAAGGACATGGAATTGTAAGAGGCTTTCAACTTGGTTATATTGTTTTTACTTTGTGCATGATTATTCAAAGAAAGAAACAGATAAAAAAATGTTTCTGATTGATCACTCAGGTACAGCTCTATTTGTTTTCCCTAGAGACCACTTTGGAGAATCTAAGCGATAGTATAACAACCGTTGATAATTTCCTGCCATTTTTGTCTGTAAGTCACTATTATTTGTCTATTTGTTTTCCTGAGAAAAGATCTTGAAGATACCAATAGGTAAAATAACAACCATTGATAATGTCCTACCATTTTGTCTATAATTCAGCGAATCCCCCTATTGCTATGTTGTCCTTCTTTTACTCTTTAAAAAAAAAATTGTTTCCATCCAAAAAACTGAGAGCTATTACAAGACTGAAATCGTGGACAATACCCTTTTAATTTTTTACTAGTACAGGAAAACTATGCCTTAAGTTACAAAAAAAAGTTTACTCTTTTAAGGAGAAAAGGCCCCTTTCCGTACTTACATTAGCTGGTTGTTCTCAACAGGACCGTCTGTGTCTTCACTGAGTTCCAATCTATTACGCCTGTAGGTCGAACCAACACTCAATCCATGAATTAATAATAATGAGGCAGAAAGAATTTTCTTCCTCACATTGCCAAGGAAACCTCTCAGCCACAATTGAAACACAGGATGTGTTTTTAAAACATCTCCCAACTACTGGAAGATTAAGTCCATTTGAATAACCTTTGTCAGACTGGAGACAGCTAGTATTAGTTATCTCCTCAAAAAACAAAAAACAAAAAAGTTCATTTAAAGATGAACTTGAGATTCAGAGAATCATTTAAAAAAAAAATCCATCTTCCATAGCCGAACAATTTAAAAAGAAAAAACAAAAGAAAACAAACAAACAAAAAACCACAAAAAAACAAAATTCAATAAGATCCAATTTCTGGTCTTCAAGATTTCTTCACCTATTAAGAAAAAAACAGAAACCTTCCCCCATCTTTATTATGTGTATAATAAAAGCATACTTGTATGCAAAAAATATAGTGTTTTATGTATATAATATACATATATAGTAACTGGCTTATACACACACGCGCGCACAAACATACACACAAATGTGTAGAAATAAAACATCTGGGTAAGTTTCCCCTTTCAAAATATACTATAAAAGTCTTTAAATTTGGGTTCATTACCAAAATAGTGAACTCAAGTCTTATACCAGAACTGTGAAGTTGATGTTACATTACAATTTGCCCAGCCCACAAAATAGCATGAAGGGAAATCCCTTAGACATTTATCAATGTGTATAATATGGATGTATGGATAGCATCATCATCCGGGAGTGTTCAACCAGAAAAGATAGAAACGTATAGTTACAGAGTAACTACAGAGTGGTGCAGCAAGCTGTAGAAGGCAGAGCAGCATTATAGCCATTTTGAACTGGTACTGTCAAAACACGGAAAGCTTCTAAGTTTTTTTTTCCCTTCTTTTATATCAACAGCATCGCTAGCATGGCATTAACACTGGCCCTGCAAAGGCTTGCTTATACAGCCTATGTCCAAATTCTTTACTACTGACGGTGACAGCTAAAGACTGTAATTATCCATGTACCCCAGTTAATAAAAGAGTAAGCTTTTGGAGCTGAAACTTCATTTCACAATGGTACATTTACCATTTAAGAATTTTAAAAAAGAAAAAAAAAGTATTTTGATACATAGAAACAAGTTTTCTAAAGTTCTGAAACCAGCCCAGTACCAAAGCAAGTCTGATTCTAACGTAATAAATACTACATAATTTCTAGGCTAAATCTTCCCAAATACTAGACAAAACTAAAATGAAAACTTAAAAAAAGTGGACACCTTTTACTCACACTTAATACTAGTCAATTTTCCAGGAATTTTTTGGGCAGGGAATATCCCCAAATCTAAAATGAAAAAAAGGAAAAATTGGGATCTTACATTAGTTATTCAGTCTGAAACTTTAAATAGTTGTTTACTAAAAGTCGTCATACTTTCGGAGTGGAAAGGTATCTTAAGGAATATTGAGATCTGTTCACTCATTTCACCAGTGATTCCTACCATATGAAAATACTGACTTCTTATTTTTAGTTAAGAATATAATGGCCATAACAACACTTCATAGTTCAGAATATAATACCATGGATAATTAAGTAGTATCATTAAGTATATTTTTAAAATTAGAAAAATATTCTTTGCAAAATGCACACTGGGCTTGTCAAAGAATCCTCCTATAGGATTTGTGATCTAATTCCCACTGAATCTTTTTCAATTTTGCAAACTTTTTCTTATTTGAACCATAAATTCTGCAAAAGCACCTAGTTTTTGTTTTTATATCACAAAAGTTTAAAAGGGCAATTCCAAGATTACAAGATTTTTCCCAATTGTTTTCTAATATTCCACTTTTATAAAGAACCAATCCTAAATATGAAGAAATTAATTGTAGCACATGGAGTAATCTGAAATTATAAAGCTGACCAGTATGAGGAGACAAATACAAATTTCCAAATATAAAACAATTTTATGGGTTTTCTTTTTGCAAAGTTGTAGACAAGCATCAGGGTTTTTAAAAAAAATAGAAAAATGAACAGGGGGAAGGAATGCCAGATTAGTCTTTTTTTTCCTCAATTTACAGGTTTCAGTTATCAAAGTTCCCATATTGGGGGAAATTCTAGCATCAATTACTAGTTCAGTCTACCAGCCAAAAATGGCCTAAGGCCTTTCAATGCTGCACTATATTTTTTTTTAACTTAAAATGTTTTCTCAACTGATTTCAAAATTTTCAAATGTAACACTGACTTTCAATTGTGAACTTGTTAAAGTAAACCTTCATTTTAGCAATGGTATACCGTCTCTGAGGAATTTTCAACCCTTGTGTTTCCTGGTTTTCCTAGATTTGGTTTGGTTTGTTTTTTTTTTTTGATACAAAGTATCACTATATTGACCAGGCTAAAGTCAAACTGTGGGCTCAAGCAATCTTCCTGCCTTAGCATCCCAAACAACTGGAACTACAGGTAGGTACCACCAAACCCATTTTTTTCAAAAAAAGAATTAGTATGATTACATATAATGACTATTACAGTAAGGATACAGTAACAGCAAAAAGTTGCCCATTTTAAATAGAGAAAAGAAAAGGAAATTAAGGTAGTATTTCTTTTTCACTGCTTTGAACCACCTTATTTTCAGGACCCCAGCTCAGAACCAATGTAGAATAATCATAGTTAACATTTTTCAAGTTCATTTTCAGAAACATCAATTGTTCTATATTGTCAAAGTCCAGGCTCATGATTTGCTTTGGATGAAAGTGGCTATTTGTAGTAAAGATACATTCAGATTGCCAAGTACACATGGGGCAACTCAGATACTGAAGGGCAACTTGGGTCAAAGCTGGCCATATGCTCACCTTTCTCTGCCAGTAAACCAAAGGATCATTACCTCCTGAGAGTTCTGAATATTTCTCTTTAAAGTACTCCTCCACTATTGCTATAGCAGACCGGAACATGAAGCTTTTGCTTCCAGTAGCAACATTGTCTGCAGTTGAGCTATCCATGGAACCTGAACTGGAGGTGCCTTCTTTTGTAGATGAGGTAAATGATTCAGCTACTACTGTAACTAAGGTATCAGAGGCTTCTGTAGTTGCGATTTGGCAGGCCTCTGGTGAAGATCCCATATAATTGCAAACCTCTTCTGCAAGGATCTGTTTGTAAGTTTCTAAATCAGCACCTTGAGGAAAAAAGTCTTCCAAGCTGTTCTTAAAGCATGGATCTAACAAAGTAGCCAAGACACAAGGCTTAGATTTGAGCATGGCACTTAATAGGGTATCAGTTTCAAGTTTCAGAGATAAGCTGTCCACCAGATTGAGAGCTTGAGTAATACCTCTGACTTGAAAATCTTCTCTGAGTTTCTGAAGGGAAAGAAGTAGATGATGGGTTAGGGGTAGCACCTGATTCAATCCTGTGGTCTTTACGCTTACTTTCTGGGTGGCCTCCTCAAATGGTTTAAGAATATCACAAACGTATGTCATTAGAGTCCACTGAAGCGAGGTGAGTACAACTCCACTGGCTCTACCAAGACTATGGTGAACTGAGTAGCAATGCTCCAAGAGCCATCTTAACATATAAAAGGTAGAAATCCAATGACCTGTTTCATCTTGCTTCAAATTCTTCCAAGGAAGCTGGTGATCATTCTGGAACTCTTGTAGTATCTGACGTGCCTTGACTGAGTGACTAAAATGATGACAGGTTTTCCTAGCAGCCACTAACATATTCTCAATGCTTTTGTGCTCGCAGAAGAAGTCCTGAATGATGACATTTAAACAATGCAGGAAGCATGGCACATGGTTAAAACCACCATCTTTGATTGCATGTACCACATTAGAAGAATTGTCAGAAACAATGAAGCTAGGGATAAGAAAATTAGGAGAAAGCCAGAGACCAATCTGGTCATTTAATTCTTGCAAAATGTTGGTTATCAAACAGTCTTTGGCTAAACCTGTAACACAAAGCACTGCCCACTTTCTGAAATCAGGGATCCTGCCAGTACTGGGAGAAGATGTGGTTTCCAAAGACACCCAGTGTACAGTCACGATGAAATAGTCAGTGGATGGGTCATGGGTCCATATGTCAACAGTCAAGTGGATCTTTTGGCTTTGAACATTCTCTAAAGTTAAGAAAATTTTTTCTCTGACACAATCATATAACTGAGGTACAGCCTTAGTGAAAAAGTAAGTCTCTGATGGCAATCTATAGTCAGGAGCCACAATCTGCAGGAATCTCTGAAAAGCTGGGGTTGAGAAGTAGTTGTACGGATGCATATCCTCTACAATCATTTGAATAATTGCCTGACTTATTTGATTAGAAGCTGAGTTTTCACAAAATGCTGTTTCTCTCTCTTGGGCATGCATCTGATTGTCTTGCTCTACAGCAGGTACACGACTTTCAGATCTATTTTCAACCTCTAACACAGGAGATTCATCCGAATCAGAGTCACTAAGGTCTTCAGCTGTTAAATCTTGGCTGCCTGTAGACTTCTCTCCATGTAAAGTATCATTCAAGAGATCGCTATTCTCAGTCTCAGTCTCATCTAATCCATTTCCAATAGCACCATTGTCTTTGTTGGCAACAGCCCAATGGATGGGATGTGTGGCCTGCAGGTGTCGTTGAAGTGTCGAAGTTCCTAAATGGGAACCTGGCCTACCCCGGCTCACACTTCTTTTACATATATTACACACAGCTCTTGAGATGTGCTGAGGATCAGTGTAAAAAAAATTCCAAACTGCAGATGTCTTGGCTCTGGTTCCAGGTATTAAGGCATGCTTGACAATGTTACTTTTGATGAGAAATCTCCCTCTTTCTGCCCTCAGGGCATCAGATGATGCTTTATGATGTTTCTTACCTAGTCTATTATCATCTAACGAATCAGCAGGAATATATTCAAAGCTTCCATTGCTTCCAGGGGAAGGGGTAGATAAAGATACATCCAAAGTAAAGTCCTCCTCCCCACTAGTGACTCCAAACTTGTTGGCCCTGGTCCAGTGAGGTGAATGCCTTGCCTGCAGATGTCTCTGAAGAGTAGATGTACCAAGATGGCTGCCTGGTTTACCCCTGCTGACACTTTTTTCACAAAGATTACAAATGGCCCGCCATGTGTACTGGGGGTCAACATGAAAGAAGTGCCACACAATGGAAGTCTTGGCTCTGGTACTAGGTAGATAGATCTGTTTTTCTATATTGCTGTCAAAAAGATTTTCTTCATCCTGTTCAGGGGCACTGGAAGTTAACAAGGCAGGAGCATCTACAACAGGTCTCCCAGATCCCAAATCCTTACTAAACTTTTTTGCAAGGATCAATTTTTTTCGGCGCCTTTTCCCCTTAATCCGCAAGCCCTTCTTTCTTTTCTTTTTAGCAGGCAATTTTGCCTCTTTATCCACTCCTGACACCATCTTTCCCTCTACCACACCCTCTTCATCTGAATTAGAATTAATGGAAACGCATCCCAGAATTCCAGCACCACTAAAAGTGCTGCATCTTCTGTCAGGAGAGAGTGAAGAAACTGGTACACTTAAAGTACATACACTCATTCTCCTTATGGCTCCAAAGTTGTACCAAGATCTGTCAATGGTTTACTACTCAAGTAGAAATACAGCTGTTACTTTCTATTTGTATTACCTTTTTTCCAATTTCTATGGGGAGTCAAATTCCCTTTGGACCAATGACTTCGAAGCCAGGTTACTTTTGGAAGAAAAATGACCGCAGTGGAGAACATTCCCAAACTCTTTGTTAGAGGGGTTTAAAATCCCTTCCAATTTTCTAAATTCTAAATTCGAACAGTCCAGCATCCTCCCTCATGTTACTGAAAACAGAACTGAGGCCCACTTCCCCACAGTCATAGAGTTGAGCTGGTTAGTAGCAGCTGAAGCCAGAGCTTTCAAACCTCAGGTTCATGTTCTTTCTGCTTCATCAAGGATTGCATCTGCTTGAAATGCCTTCAGTTCTTAAAATATGTATTTTTATGATGCCCCGTGATAGCAACATCGATTTTCTCTTATTTCTGAAATTATTTTCAGGAAGTTTCATTTAAACAAAAACATAGTGCACCATTCAACATTCATCACTGATTTGCCAAAACAACCCAAAATTTTAGTCAATTCTGGAAAGCTAAATCAGACTCCACATACTGGTCATTAAATTCTAGTTGATCCCTTTCAATTCTAACAGCACATTTTAAAAAATGTAAGTGGCTGAAAAAAATTCTTTGGGAATAAAATTTTAAAACAAGGTAACAAGAAACAGTTTCAATTCACCGTTTCTACTAAAAGATCACGTTTTTACACTGAAGTTTATGCCTGTAAATAACTCACAAGTTGACCTCTACATGAACAGCAAAAACTGAAGAACTTTAAACCATTTCCACTTCTTTTGCATTGATCCCTCCCCTCTCCTCCATACCTACACATATTTACCCTACAAAGCATCGCTATTACTAGTTCCACAGCCTCCTTCTCAAGGTCCAGAACCAAGGCCTGGAAGATGTCAACAATATGGACCTTCCCCATAGGAATCCGCACCGATTATGGGAGTTTAGGGGGTGCTCTTCGTTACGGGTTCACCAATCCTACAAGGAGAACGGAAGTGTCCCTGTAGCTCTTGACTCCGAAGAGGGGGCGAGGGCGGGATGGGGAATGGGCGTGGGGCAGCGGAGTAAGGTCAGTGGCTTCCTATGTGGAATTTGAGAAAATCTCCCACATAGCAGGCCCCTAGCGGGCCACGAACAGGTAAACTCGGCTCCTGGGACTCGGGCTGATTCAGGTAACGAGGGTCCGCTTAACTAGAAACACTGTTGCCGCGCAGAGAGCCATCTAGTGTCACCTGCCTGTCGGGGTCGAAGAACAGTTGGTTTACCGGGGCGCTCTGGCTCCAGGTTCCCCAGCACCGGAAGTGGGGGAGGGGAAGAGGCCGGTGGGGAAGGAGCAGTCGCCTTGGGGGTTGGGCGCCGCGGGTGGGGGTGGGGAGGATGGGAAAAGTGAGCGGGAGCCGGGATCCCAGCTCAACCCCGCGAGGGCTGCGGCCGGGAGGCGGGGGTCCTTACCGCAGGGCTCAAGGACCCCGCTGTGACTTCCCAGGCTAGGCCACGACCCAGGGGCGAGGGAAGGCCGCTGCCACTCCCCTCGCCCTGTCCCCCACCTCCCTGACTCCAAACCACCCAGCAATCAAAAAACGGGTCTAGTTACCAAAGAACAGAAACTTTACCGAACCGATGACACTAGTTCCGACTCCCGCCTGCTGCCACGTCTTTCTTCTTTCTTTGCCGTTGCCGTCCGCCGTTCTTACAGCAGCTAAAAAAATTTAAGACTGCCAGCGTCAAAGATGGCGCCCGGCTACAGGCTCGGTTCTAAGACGCGGCCAGTAATACTGCCAGCACGACGCAGAAGGCGGGAATTCTGGGAGATGTAGTTTCCTCTATGAGGCGATGCCTAAAATGGCGTCCCTGCGTCACAGGGCCACGTGGGCCGCGAGGGGCTTGGCGATTGGGTCCCTTCGTTGGCGAGAATTGCCGTTTCCGCAAGTTCTGTGGCTCTTAACACGTATTTGATAAAGTTTTATTTTTGTTTTTAAATCAAACCAAATGAGTGAGAAAACTGCAAGAACTGTCTACCAGGCAGTAAGCGTTCAGTTTACCAAGTGTTTTTGCCTAAGCCGTGTATAAATTTAATTTAGAAATAAACTGCACTTTGCCCTTGCAGTGTTACAGGATTTTTACGATTTTTTTTTTTTTTTTTTTTTTTTTTTTTTTTTTTTTCTGGTTTATACGTTTGTTTTAGGTTTTTTGTTGTTGGGGTTTTTTTTGCTTGGTTTTGTGTGTGTGTGTGTTTGATTTTTGAGACAGGTCTCCTCGCTGTGTGGTTTATTTATTTATTTATTTATTTATTTATGTCTTTTTGAAAGAGAGTCTCATTATGCAGTTCAGGGTGGCCTTGAGCTCACTTTGTAGACCAGGCTGGCCTCGAATTTGCAACGATCTTCCTGCCTCAGCCACCCGAGTGCTGGGATTACAGGCGTGTGCCACCACGCCCAGCTCGCTGTGTGGTTTAGTTTTGGTGTTCTTTTGTTCCGTACCGGGAATCGAACTCACAACCTTACTCTTGCCAGGGAGGCGCTGTGTCGCTGAGCTAAATCCCCAGCCCCTTTGCTGTGTGGTTTAGACTAGCCTTGAACTCACTATGTAGCCCAGGCTGGGCTTAAGTTCTTGGAGATCTTCCTGCCTCAGCCTCCCAACTGCTGGGATGAAAAAGAAACCTAGACTTTCCCTCTGTAAAATCTTCCCAGCCCAGGCAAGCAACTCTTGGGGCAACCCCTCCCTGTGGAATGCGGACTTGCTTCTCAGGAGGTCCTGTGCTTTTCTCACTGATAAGGGAGACACTTCAGGCAGTTCTGTCATGGGACTCAGTTCCCTTAGAGGGGCAATACTGGGTACTGACACTGATAAAACTAACAAATGGGGTTATGAGCAAGCTTCACAATGTCCTAACATCCCGAGATGGACAGGACTTAATCTCTCTCAAGGCTAAGATAGAGTTAGCTGCTAGGGTGACTAACTGCCTGTGTTTCAGTTATATATCTCTACTTGCTTGACGTCACAAATTGTATAAAAGGGGATTCTCCTGGGTTCGGGGCCCAGCCTAGTTTTGAGCATTTCTAGTGGCTGGGATGGTGCATCATTAAAGTCCTCCTGAAAAATCCCTCCTGGTCTCCCCACTTTCTTGGAAATTCCACAACAAGATTACAGGTGTGCACCACCACATTGGGCCCTTTCTCTGAAAACTGTTCGAAGGATTTAATGTAGTCCCAAACGTGTCAACAGCATACCTCACAGAACTAGCGCAAACAATCCTAAAATTTCCTTTGGAATCAGAAGAGACCTAGAATAGCCAAAGCAGTTCCGGGCAACAAAGGCAAGGCAAGGGGCATCACAGTCCTTGATTTGAAGTTATACTACAAAGCAATGTGTCTTTCACTGTAACAAATTTTTAAATTTAGACATTCACTGTAACTTAACCAACCGTTGTTGAGCAACCATTTATGGCAATTTTTGTCAAACAAAAACACAGTGTATCGTCATTTTATCATGGGGTATGGCACTGTACAACTTCTGGCTCTTCCTCAAAGTCAAAAGATGGTTTTGGGGGGGTTTTTTGGTACTGGGAATCAAACTCAGGGCCTCACACTTGCCAAGCAGGCATTGTGCCTGCTGAGCTACATCTGCAGCCCAAGATAAGTATTCTAAATCAGTTCAGGGGCTGGGGATTTAGCTCAGCGGCACAACGCCTGCCTGGCAAGTGCAAGGTGGTGAGTTTGATTTCTGGTATGGGGGTGTTGGGGGGTCAGTTCAGGACAGCAAGGCAGCCACAGTACAACTAAAGACACTCATGAAAGAGTGCTCCCAGGACTACTTCAGAAATTGGCAAAAACAATGGGATAGTCTGTTTAAAGCAAGGGGGAGTATTTTGAGAGGGCTTAATGGCAGTGTTTCTTTTACTGTAATAAATTCAAAAATTTTAAAAATGTTATTTTTCTATTGCATCTGTACATAATTACAAAATGAGAGGAAAAATTTTTTTACCAATAAACTGACATGTCACTCTAATCTTGCGTGTGTGTGTGCGTGCACGCAGCACTGAGCTATATTCCCAATTATTCTTATTTTTTTAATTTTGATATAGGGTCTCATTAAGTTGCCCAGGCTGATTTTGAAGTTATGATCCTATTGCCTCATCCTCCTGAGTAGCTGGGACTATACTTGTGCACGACCACACATGGCTATAATACCTTTTTCTATATATGTGACTGCATACTCTTTGATCACTTCTTATGACAGTAAGTTGTTTTGCTTTGTTTTGTTTTTTGTTTTACTTTGGCATTGGGAATCAAACTCAGGGCCTCGAGCTTGCCAGGCAGACACTGTGCCACTGAGCTACATCCCCGGCCCAGCAAGAAGTTTTAATATTGTCTGTAAAGAGAGTAAAAAGATCAATCAATCTTTCCTCTAGCATCCTTAATAAAATTGTTTGTTTGTTTGTTTTGGTGTTTGGAGACAGGATAAATGCTATGGAGTCCAGGCTGACCTCAAACTCATGGCAATCCTCCTGCCTCAGCCTCCAGGGTGCTGGGATTACAGGCACATGCCACCACCCTGTGGGTAATTTAAAGCAGGATAAAATACCTGGCAGCTCCACCTCCAGTCTACATCTGTGTCCTGCACTGAGTCACCTCGGATTCCAGGAACAACAGGTCCAGTAGATAACATCTTGCTATGAGTCAGAGCTACCTTCTCAGCAGCGGCAACTTCCTTCTTACATTGGCCAGGACCCTGCCTGATCTGTCCTTAGATAATGACCTCAGATTGACCCAGGCTGTTTCACCATCCATTTCCTGGGTCACCCTGGTCTCTGTAATCTGGGAGCTCATGTCAGTTCCCCCCAAACAGGGCTAAGGATGTGGTCCTATTGCTTCTCCAGTATAGCTACACTGATTAATGTTCTTTTTGCGATTTTCACTATTATTTTCCTCTCTGATTTTTGAGGTTGGTGGCTGGACCTGATTTGTTGGGACTCCCTGAGTTGGGCCTCTGGCCGAGGACTCCAATAACATCTTCTGGCATCTCTGAAATTACTCCTGCAGGGTCATTCACCTTGAATAAATACTTTTCAGTGTTTACTTTTCTTATTATTTTTAGTCAGCATTTGTATGATGTACCACACACCACAGTAACAGCTTTATACACATTATTCAGTTTAATCCTCACGATTCCACTGTAAGATAGGTACTTGTTGTTAACCCCTTTTTACAAACGCTTGTAAAGTTCTAACGATTTGTCCCATATTTCATTGCTGGAAAGTGGCAAGGCACGATTTCAAGCACAGGGCTCCAAATCAGGCAATCATTTGACCTCCGACTATTTTCTCTTCCTTTAAATCGCCCTTCCCTTCGTTGTTAAAGGACAAATTCTGTTTGGGTTTCCTTCCACACTCTCTGCTTGCCTGTCTCCAGTTCCCTGGCCAGTTCCTCTTTCCTGTTCCTCGATGAATCATTGACATTGCCCAGGATTCCACATTCTCTCTGTGAGCTGTCACCTTCATCCCCGTGGTTTCCACTGTGAGTTAATAGTGCTGGGCGTGGTAGTGCACGCCTGTAATCCCAGCACTCGGGAGGCTGAGGCAGGAGGATCACTACAAGTTAATAGAACACAGTGACTCAGATCTTATCTCAGACCCAGATCTGTGTTTAGCTGCCTATAGAATTCTCCAGCTGGACACTGCCAAGGCACTTGGCGACTGAAACTGAAATCACCACCGTGTCCCCCACATCTCATCTTCTTCCTGAAGTCTCTGTCCTAATGAATGACACCGTCCACCATCCACACAGTTACTGAGGCCAGAAACCTGGGTGTTATAAAAAACTTCATCCAAATAGTGATGCTGTCCTGTTGACTTCACCCCCCAAATCTTTCTTGCATCTATGTTTTTCTTCTTAACCCTCATGGCCCTGCCCGGTTTAAGCCCTGCCCACTTGCTGCCAGTTTCCCACGTTACTGCCAGTCCCTTCATGGGCTGTCTTCCTTGCCCTTTCTTTAGTTGCTCTTTTATTTTTTTTATGTTTTGTTTTTCTTTTTTTTTTCCCGTACCGGGAATTGAACTCACGACCTCGCACTTGCCAGGCAGGTGCTGTGCTGCTGAGCTAAATCCCCAGCCCCAAGTTGCTCTTTTAGTCTGCCACAAAATTTCTTTTTCTAAAAAGCAAATATAATATCAATACTTCCCCCACGTGTTTACTCATGTATAGAAAATTTTCTAGAAAAATTTATTAACGGTAGTTAGTTGAGGGATATAGGGTTGGATGTCTGAGGTAGAAAAGAGATGTACTACTTACTGTATAAATTAAACCCACATAAAACTTTTATTTATCCACTCATGCTAAAATCTTACCGCTCCTCCCCGCTCCAGTTCTTTGCTCTGCCACTTTGAGTGACCTGCATTTCCCTCCATGTGTCCTACTTTTGCAAAGCCCCAGGCCTTTGCATATGCAGTTTCTCCTGGTTAGAACTCCTTTCTCTGTCCTCATTTAACCTACTGGCTTTCTCCCTGCAAGATGCAGCAGCCCGTGCTTGTCAGATGGTTTAAGAATTGCCTGGCTGCTCATTTGCTTTTCTCTATATATACTGTGAACTCAGGGAGATCAGCAATAAATGTCTTTTTTCCCCCCTCCAATCAGACTTTATTGGTATACTTTAGT